TAAAGTGATTCATCACATTTATTGACTTGTGGATGGTGAATCATCTTTTGCAGTCCTGGAATAAATCCCACTTGAACATGCTGTATGATTCTTTCAATGTGCTGCTGAATCAGTTTGATAGTAATTTCTTGAGAATGTATGCAACTATACTTGTCAGGGACATTGGTAATTTTCTTGTAGTGTTCTTATCTGGTTTTGGTATCAGGGTAATGCTGGCCTTGTAAAATGAGTTTGGGAATGCTCCCTCCTCTTTAATATATTGGGAGAGTTTGAGAAGGACTGGCATTAATTCTTCTTTAAAGGTTTGGTAGAACTCACCAGCAAAGCCATCTTGTCCTGGGATTTTCTTTGTTGAGAAGCTTTTGATGATTGTTTCCTTACTTGTCATTAGTATGTTTGGATTTTCTATTTCTCATGATTCTGTCTTAGAAGGTTGTATGAATCTAGGAGTTCATCCATTTCTTCTAGGTTGTCCAATTTGCTGGCATGTAATTGTTTGTAGTAGTCTATGATGATCCTTTATACAGTAGGCCCTCCTAATCTGCAATTTGGCTTCCCATAGTTTCAGTTACCTGAGGTCAACCATAGTCAGGAGCAGATGATCTTTCTTCTGACACATTGTCAGGTCGATAGTAGCCTAATGCTACATCACAATGCCCTCATCATTCACCTCACTTCATCTCATCACACAGCATTTCATCATCTCACCATCACAGGAAGAAAGGTGAGAACAGTACAATATTTTGAGAGAGAGAAAGAACACATTCACAGAACATTGAAGTACATTATAATTGTCCTATTTTCTTATTAGTTACTATTGCTGGTCCTTTACTGTGCTTAACTAACAAAGTAAACATTATCATACATAGGTATGTGTAGGGAAAAAACATAGTATATATAAGGTTGAGAACTATCTGTGTCTTCAGGCACCTAGGAAAATGAAAAAAAGAAATACATATTTCCAAAGTGAAATGACCATAAGGATGTTAAAGTAGGATATACAGTGGGTGATGAGATCATCAAGTATGATTGGAATATTTGTAGAGAGCACATCTGGGGAGAAAATGGGCTTCATTTACCTGCATGATCAGTCAATAATTGCCCAGAAGTCAGTTGGAAATATGTGTCAGAATGCAGAGGAGATATCAGGCCTAGAGTTATAAGAGTCAGTGTATGAAGTTGTGGATCTGAATTACCTTGGAAGAGTGAAAAATAAGAAAGGGGCCAAGGACTGAATTCTGGGAATCCCCAAAATCTTTCCATGTTTTTATCATTCTTTTCTATTTTTAGTATTTTTAATATGAAAGGAATATATTAAATAAAAATATTTCTCAATAAATTATTTTAAATAAAAATAAAATTTAAGTAAAGAATAAGTAGAACAATGTTGGGAGTATGAAACCATAATTTTTTATTTTGTCATATTTTTTTATTCAAAGAGGAAAACATCATCTTTACAGAAAATTAAAATCATGCACACTCTCCTCACTCAGTCATTATTATATTCCATTATGTTTCTTTCCCATCTTTTCTCTACACTTTTTTAATTTAACACAACAAAATAATTATTCAGTGAATATAACTTTATATTCCTTCTTCCTATTTACTATTATATAACAGCCATTTTTACATTCTATCCACATATACTTGGTAATATTGTAATATAATCTATCTAACTGATATCATAACTCATCTGTTCTCTCATTGTTAGACACCATTTTAAATGATATTTAAATGAAATATTTATGCATAAAGGTGTTTGAGGGTTTTTTTTGTATTTAGGATTATTTCCTTAGGATAGTTCAAAAAGTGTAATTACAAGGACAAAGAAATAAACATTGCCAAAATACTTTCTATAATATCTGTACCAATTTACATTTCCATAAGCAATTGATATAAGCATCTTACACTAATTTCAGGAATTGCGCTATCAAACATAAGAAATCTGTTAAATTTATAGGTGAAAAATGGGAGGTCATTTTAATTTGTATTATTCTGATTACTGCTGAGGTTGGACATTCCCCATGTTCACTGAAGACATGTTTTCTCTTCTGTGAATTCATTTCCTTTGTATATCAGTTGAAGTCTCAGTATTTTACCAAATTTGTATGAGCACTATCAAATTAACTGTTATTTTTTTCCCTCCAGGTATAAGTTTGTCCTTTAATTGTAGCGTGATTTTTCTTTTGGAATAAATAGAAAATTTGAATGTATACATAATTAAATATTTCCCTAATTTCTTCTGTTGCTTTTCAGCTGTTTCTCTCCAAAAGTTTGATAAACATTCACTTCTATTTTTTCCTGTTTTGATTTGTTTTTACATACTTGAACCATCTGGAATTTATTTTGATGCTTGATGTGAGGTGAGAATCTACATAATTTTTTCCCAAAGTGCTGAACATCACTCCAATGAATAACTCCTTATATTCCATTGATTAGTGATATATCCTTCATCTATATTGATTTCATACTATACTCATTTATTTCTGGGATATCTTGTGCCACTGATGGTCTCTTCTTGTCCGGTATTTAAAGGTGTTTATAATTAATTGTATGTTATACTATAAAGCTAGTAGGAACAATACTTGTCAGCTGGTTTTCAAAGTTATTTTTGCTGTTTTTTGACTAGAAATATCTTCAGTATTATTTGCTAAATGTGTTTTAAAAACACTGAAATAAAAATGTACAGAACTGATTATATAGTCAATAATATTGTAATATCTTTGTATGTTAACAGATAACTACACTTATCATGGTGAGCATTTAGTAATGTATATAATTGTCAAATCACTATGTTGTACACCTGAAACCAACATAATATTGTATATCAACTATATTTCAATAAAACAATTAATCACAGTAAAATAAATAAAACAATATAAAGAATTTTTAAAATTCTAACAGTACAACATGGTCATAGAAATAATGCATATATTAAAGTAGGCTTAAAGCAAATAGAACCCCATTTTCCCTCCATTGCTTGTGTTGCCTTCATACTCTCAGTTCTGCTCCTCAGGGGCCCTATTTAAACATTTTTTGGTTGTATACTTCCAAAAATTGTCCATATATAATTATGTTCCACCCACCCCCAATTTTTACAAAAATTGGCTCACACTGCACATTCAATTCTGAAACTTGTTTAAAAACCTTCACTTTTCATTATAGTAGTACATTCCTTATCCAGAAAGAACTTTAAAATAACTTATGAAGTTTCAAAATATCCCATTGAAGTTTTGTCTGGAATTTCATCAGATCTTACACATACTAACAGGCATATTGAACTTCCTTCACTTCCTCAGCCATCAAGTGTTTCCTCTTGCCCCTAGATCTTGTGCAGCAATTTCCCTGAGATAGGAACAATACCTTCATCTGCTTCAGTCCCTTTCCCCCCCTTCATCTTCGTTACTCTTAACTACCTTTCAGGTATTAGCTTGTGATATTTTTTTCCTGCAAACCTTCCTATATACATTTTTCTTGTATCAAGTGCTTTACTGAAATCATATTAATTCTAATGATTTTTGGAAATTCTGATGAAATTTCTTGATGTTTAATAATATAGTTTGCAAATAATCAGAGACTTTATTTCTGGCTCATCTTTATTGCATTAACTGGAACTTCAAAAATGGGATTAAGTAATATTAATAATAGTGGACACCCTAATATTATATCTATTTTTAATAATATGATTTTTCTGTTTTATTTTAAAATATGACACCTGTGATGTTTGAAATATGTACACTCTACCATGTTAAGGAAGTGACTATCTAGCTGTATTATTTTAAAGAACATGAATGATTTTTACTTTATTAAATGCCCTTTTTAGCATCTGTTGAGGTAAGTGTGATTTTTTTATATGATTTATTTATATAACGTAACACAGAAAAAGTTTCCTAATGTTGAATGGAAGTGAGGCAGGGACATGGGACAAGTATCATGATTAATTTTCCTGCCTACGATGAAACATGCTGAGATATAAACAGTACAGTAAGAACAGGAGGGACCCCAGATTAAGGCTAAGATTCCATTTAAAAAACCAGGGAGTTAGAGTTAAGATACCTAACATTTTTTGGTAATTAGCCAAAAACCCACCCTATCTTAAGGCAGGGCAAGCAGTCTTAACTGCTTTGTTCCCAGTGCTTGAGGGAAACCACTACCTTGGAGAGGAACCGGATCAATAAATTCCTTGGGTTAAGTTTACCTTACAGAATTATCTAGAGGACTGACTAAGGGTGGTGACATAATGTCTCTCACTGGAGATAGATAACCCCCACTCCCACCTTTTGCCCCATTCTTGAAAGCCTTAAAAGAATCCTAAGCCCTTAAGTGTGTGCCTCCTCTCTGAGGTCGCCCACACTCCCCTTTCTTCGAGTGTGTACCTTTTAATTAAAGCTTTCTCACCGTTCGACTTACTGCATTTTGTCTCTGTGCTCTTCCAGTGGTAAGTGTCTTTGTCACTTTGCTAGTTCATTCTATTTTCCAGACTTAAATACAAGTCTTCACTCTGTCTCTGTTCAAATCCAGATAAGTAGGGAGGGGCTACTGAGAGCTCTGATATGGACTTGCAAGTTCCTGCCACCTGGGTGACCCAGACAGAACTACAGCTGTACAATCATGCTCTTTAGTAGCCTGCCTGAAAATCTCCTTTCTTTGCCTTTGGGGAAGTTCTCCAAATACAATCTCACTCCATCCAATGCTCTGTGGCTCCCCCAAGTCCTAGGGTGGTAGGTGCTTAGTCCCCGCACCTTGCAGATCCAAATGGACACTGGACACTAGGTGACCCTGGTTTTAGGAGTTGGCAAGGGATTTGCCCTATGCTGAGCAGGGGTTCAATGAGCTTCCCGTTCCTTTCTCTGCTCTTCCTTGCTCTCTGCTGATTGCAAGGCAGCTCCCATTCCCTGCTACTCTCACTTTAATGAATCCTTTCTTTACCTACACTCATCTGATTTGCTTGAGAATTCTTTCTCATTCAGTCAAGACCCCTCCACCATCCAGGCTGAGGTTTCTCCTAGTGCTTCACCCAGTGCACAGGGAGAGACATCCCCAGATGCAGCTGCCCAGCAACAGAACCTTGATTTCTTTTATGGGATAAAATCTCTTTGATTCTGGTGGATTAAGAATACATATTGTTACTTTCTCACTCTCACATTTTGTCCACTATTTTTATACCTATATTAATACAAAGGATTAGTAGTATCTTATTATTATTTGACATTTGTATCTTAGATTGAGAGAACATCAACAATGAAAGGGTGGATAGTCTCTACTTGGCCCAGAAATACCTTATATATAAATAAAAACAATTTATTTTCTGATATATAAAAATAGTATCCTGCAATTTGATTAGCATGAACCCATATCATCTCACTACCCCTGGATGAATCAAATTCCTCAACATGTAACTTTTAGGAGTGGATACTTTACTAGGGCAGAGATATAAGGTTTAGTAGCCCTGAGTACTGACAGTATGCAGTCAGCCACACCAATTCTTATTACAAGTTCAAAGACCTTATTGTTGAAGTGTAAAAACATTACAAGGTTACTTCAATATATAGATACCATAGATTTCATTTGCTTTTCAGTTATTTTAACTATCTAAGGGTTTGAAACTATCTGCTAATTGCTATGTTAACCAATATCTTTTTGGGAATTTTCATTAATAACCAACAAATCAACCCATAAAAGGGTTCTATTTTAATGTCTCTCATTCTGTAACACAAATATCTTTTAAGACATACCAAGCATTTAGGAGCATTTATATTCAGAAATACCAGCACCTTTATAAAGCTGAAGATATGCAAGAAACTCAGAAGTCATTCAACCTGGTCAGTATAAGTTTCTCATCTCACTCACAGAAGCTTTCTTACCAATATTTGAAAAAAAATCCCTGGCATACCTCTGAATTCGAAAGAAAAATCTTGAACTCATTAAGTCCCTCTGAAGACCAACTTTGCTTTGGCTTCTGGTTTAATTCACTTACTGATACACCAACACAAATCTCTGGTTGAAATTACTTTAGCAGATCTATACCAGGCATTAGTTATTCACCTGAGTTTGTAGTAACATTGATTTTTCTAATTAATGGCCACTTTTAGGCATAAAATCTGGGCTAAGCATTTAAATGATTCAGCCAGGTACTGACAGAAGTGGAAATCATTCCCAGCTCCAATGATTCTGTTATGTCCTTCTTCAGATAACTTCTTCAGGACATCAATTTCCTGAAATTAAAAATATCATGATGGAGTTACGTTCTTTTGTATTTTTCTTATGCATAAGGTTTTCTTATAAATTTGTGTGCAAATGATTAGAACAAGCATAAACTTGCCTTTATTTGTAGCAACTACTTTCATACATTATTTAATTTGGCACATGTAATTTATTCCTTATGCACAAAAATTACATCTATCATCACCCCTCCAATTTTTGCCTTTAGGTAGGATGTTCAGAAGATAGGAGGGTTATCCCTGTGGCAAAATTATTCCTGATTAACAACACATATATTTTTCAAGGCTTAGAGAATATGAGGGTTTAACAAAATAAATATCATCTTTCATTTCCTAATACCAAAGGCCCTTTCCACAAAGCCAGCTAACGTTGTTAGCAAGAGTAATAGGGAAAAAAAGTCTCCAAATTATTTTTCAGCCTTTATTGTCATACTACATTTTCTATTTATCTGTAAACAAACAATATTTCTGAGAATTTTTTCACATTAACATAGGTCTGTTAAAAAAATGTTCTAATATTTGGGAATAGGTGAAAGTATGAGTACATACTTTTTAAATGTCACTCCAAAGCATTAATGCCCCTTTCAAGGATTATTTAACTAAGTAGGGGATTTTTACTTTTGCTTGACTTACTATTTACAGTTGATTAGGGATGAGAGCCTGTAAAATTAGGTGTTAACTTTAGAATTCTCTTTGGTGCAAGTAATTTATTACTTATGCACAGAAATTACATCTATTATGTCTTTCAAGAATAAACAAAAAATAATAAGTACACATGCACCTAACAAAAGATCCTCAGAATACAGGAAGCAAAATCTGGTAGAATTTAAAAAATACAGACAAATCCAAAATCATGGATGGCAATTTCAACATTGCTCTCTCTGTAATAATAAAATAATTACACCAGAAATCAGTAAGGAATTAGAAGACCTGAACAACATTATCAACCAACTTGAACTATTTAATATTCATAGAATTCTACTCTGCCCACCATATCAGATTAGTCATTCTTTTCAATAAAATATGAAATATTCACCAAGATAAATGCTATTCTGGGCCATAAAATAAGTGACAATGCATTTAAAAGAATTAAAGTTATATACGGCATGTTTTCTGGATTAATACATAACAAGATTTCTGGGAAAAAATCTTCTAATTGGAAATTGAAAAAAAATACTGCTAAATAACCAATGGACTGAAGATCTTGCAGAGAAAATTAGAAAATACTTGGAATAGAATGAAAGTGAAAATACCATATATCAAAACTATTGAGACTCCGGCTGTTTGTGGAGGAGAGGATCCACACCCGCTGGCTCTGTGTCAGAGGAAAGGCAGGCGGTCTGAGAGGCTTTCTAGCACCAAGGGCTGCTGAAGGGGAGGGGTTTGCCTGGGGCTTACTGAGTGGGGGAGGGGAGAGCTGGACGAGGTTGTCTGGGCATGCTTGGCCCAGCTGCTTGGGAACTTTGAGGAGCTTCAGGAGCTCCATCCCCCTGGCTGTCTGCTCAGCTCCAAGCCCTCCACCACTGTGACACGCAGCATGGTGTGCCTCCCTCCTAGCCTGACGGCACTGGTTCGCAAACCAGCAGTCACTGTGCTGGTGTCAGGCCACCCAAAGGGAGGCCCCGCCTACAGCAGCTAGAGATGCCAAGCACAGAGGCTTCACCTGTGTGCTTGGACCACTGGCTCTGACACTGGAGACAGACACTGCAGCTGGGAATCAGGAAACAGCTCTTTCCTCCCACCAGGCACCAGCGCTGCTCCCCTATGACCACCAACCTCACTCTAGGAGCTGAGCAGCCCCAGAGACTAGGGCTTCTGGGCACTAGAGGGTGTCACAAAGAATTATGAAATGTAAAAGGAACCTGGTTCAGACCAAAATATCACAAACTCCAGAAAAAGGACCAAATGAAACTGAACTCACCAATCTTCCTGAAAGAGAGTTTAAAATAAAAACCATAAACATGCTCACAAACAACAACATTCGACAATTCAGGGAAGAATTTAAGTTGGAGATTCAATCATTAAGAAATTCCAATCTGAAATGAAACATACAACAGAGGGATTTAAAAGCAGATTAGATGTAGTAGAAGATATAGTAAATGGAATAGAAATTAGAGAAGAGGAATACAAAGAAACTGAGGCACAGAAAGAAAAAAGAATCTCTAAGAATGAAAGAATATTGAGAGAAATGTGTGACTAATCCAAATGGAACAATATTTACATTACAGGGGTACCAGAAGAAGAAGAGAGAGAGAAAGGGATAGAATGTATCATTGAGGAGGTAACTGCTGAAAACTTCCCCAATCTGGGAAAGAAGATAGTCTCTCAGGCCATGGAGGTGCACAGATCTCCCAACACAAGGGAGCCAAGGAAGACAACACTAAGACATATAGTAATTAAAATGGCAAAGATCAAGGGTAAGGACAGATTATTAAAAGCAGCCAGAGAGAGAAGTAAGATCACATACAAAGGAAAACCCACCAGGCTTTGAAAAAGACAGATGTACCCCTATGTTTATCACAGCACTATTTACAATAGCCAAGAAATGGAAGCAACCTAAGTGTCCATCAGTAGATGAATGGATAAAGATGTGGTACATATGCACAATGGAATATTATTCAGCCATAAGAAGGAAACAAATCCTACCATTGGCAACAACATGGATGGAGCTAGAGGGTATTATGCTCAGGGAAATTAGCCAGGTGGAGAAAGACAAGTATCAAATGATTTCACTCATCTGTGGAGTAGAAGAACAAAGAAAAACCTGAAGGAGTAAAGCAGCCGCAGACTCACAAAACCGAAGAATGGACTAACAGCTACTAAAGGGACTGGGGAGGATGGGTGGGAAGGTAGGGATAAGGGGGAAAAAGGGGCATTACAGTCAGCAAACATAATGTAGCAGGGGGTGGGGACACGGGAAAGGCAGTATATACAGAGAAGACAAGTAATGATTCTATAGCATCTTACTATGCTGATGGACAGTGACTGTAATGGGGTATGTGGAGGGGACTTGATAATAGGGGAAGTCTAGTAACCATAATGTTTTTTAGTTGTACATTAATGATACCAACAACAACAACAACAAAAACTACTGGTATGCAGATTAAGTTGTCCTTGGAGAGAAATTTTTTAGCATAAATGTCTTTATTAGAAAACTAGAAGGTCTTATATCAATGATCAAAGCCTTTATCTTAAAGTAGAAAATCCACATGCAAAGGTAAAGAAGCTAGTACAACAAACACAAAATTGGAAAGAACAAAGTTGGAGGTCTCTTCCTACACGGTTTCCAGATTCATTATAAATAACCAAGTAGTCAGGATAGTGTCCTATTGGTGAAAGGATAGACACATAAATCAATGGAACCCATTAGTGCAAAAATCTATCCTCATATATATAGACCATTTTGTTTTTCAACAATATTGACAAGACAATTCAATAAATAAAGGATTAGTCATCTTTTCTCCATACAGTGTGGAGAAGTTGGATATCCATTTGAAAAACACAACAAAACAAAATCTCACCCCACAACACAGACTACACACAAAAAAAGTCAAATGAATTATATAGGGAAACTCTAAAGCTATATAATTATTGCAACAAAATGTAAGATAAAGTCTTTATGTCCTCAGGTCATGCAAATATCTCATAGACTGATTCTTAGTCAATAATTGCATGAACCATAAAGAAAAAATTGATGAAATTTTCCCAACAAAATAAAAAACTTCAGCTCTTCAAAAGAACATGATAATAAAATAAAAAGATTAAGTGGCAGACTTGAGAAAAATATTTGAAAAACACGTATCAGTTAAAGGTCTCATGCCCTGAATACATTAACAATTCTAAAAACTCAGTAAAAAGAAAACAAAAATCCCAGGAAAAACTTGGTGAAAGATTTGAGCAGATACTTTATAAAAAAAAAAAGATATACAAATGACAACTAAAGTGATTTTTACATCAATAATCCTTCTGAAAATACAAATTAAAACCACAATGAGATTCCACTATACATCTATTAGAAGGGTAAACTAAAAACATGATAATACCAAGGGGTGATGAAAATGTGGAATCGTTATACATTATTGGTGGGAATTAAAATATAGCATGACTAATTTGGAAATAAGTTTTCAGTTTCTTATCATTTTAAATGTATACTTATAACATGGAACAGCAATCCAACTCCTCGGTATTTACCAAGTTCACACAAAACCTGTTCAAACAAAAACCTGCACATGAATATTTATAGTAACTGGTATGTTCATGTAGGAAACAGTACTCAGCAACAAAAAGAGCAAACAACTTACACAACAACATAAACGAATCTGAAATGCATGATGCTAAATAACAGAAGCAAACTCAAAATATATTTACTATATGACTCCACTTATATGACATTCTATAAAAGGCAAAACTAGAAGGACAGAAAAGAATTCCGTGGCTGCCAGAGTCTAAGGATATGGAGAAGTGTTGGCTGCAAAGGGGCACAACCAAATTTGGGGGAACAATGGAATTGCAATATAACCTGAGTGATGGTAGTTTCACAACCTTATGCATTTCTCAAAACTTATAGAACTATATAGTAAAAATGGTGAATCTTACTGTATGGAAATTATACCTTAATAAACCTGATGTAAGAAAAACTAAAAAAGGAAGTAATACAGAATAGTGAAATAATCCTAAAAATTTTTAGAAAAAGAAAAAAGATCAGAGAAATAAAAGACAAACAATATGGTAAATTTGAAGTCAATTATATGAGTATTTACATGAAGAGCAAATAGACTAAATACTCCAAAGAAAAAGACTTTCAGAATGGATTGAAAAAAACAAGCATGTGCCTGTTATGCCTTAAATATAAGTACACAGATTGAATCCAAAATAACATAAAAGATATCTCATGCAGTTACCTAAAGAGAGCTTTTATGGTTATATTAACTATCAGACAAAGTTACTTTAAGGCAAGAGGTGTCCTAGAGATGAAGGATGGCATTTCCTAAAGA